AGATTGCTCTTCTCAGAGGTTTAACATCTGCTACAGCCTCTCTAATAACCAAATTAACTGAGAAGGAGAAACAGATGGCAAATCAAAGCCTACACCCTCCAAGATGGAGGCTGTTAAGTCCTCTAAGCTCCCAGCATTCCTTTGGGCCAATTTGCACCACAAGCTGCAGCTGGCTATAAATTCAGTGAAGGCCTCAGCCTGCTCCCACTTTCCTCTGTATAGATGTATACTTTCTTAGGGTATTTTTTTATGCAGTTAAAATGAAGTTAGAAAGGAAAATGTAAGTTTTTGGGGACGTTTTTTGGTTTTTTTCTTCTTTTATGGGTAGGAGCTGCTCTGAACTTGGAAGTAAGGGAGGGAATGCTGTACCTCAGTTCCTCCACAAATCTGCTGTTCATCTGTCCTGCTTCTGGTTATTCTGAAGTTATTAAAGCTAAACTTTGGGAGATTTAAGTAACAGAAATAGGGGTGAGGAATTTGTTTTTTCCTTGTGGAGATTCCCTTAGTCCTGTAGCTTGCAGAGGTAAAGCCAGTGCTTCTAATGGTCTCAAACACCATGCCTTTCTCCAACCTGCCAGGTCTGAGAAGAATCTAGTAAATATTTATTTCTCTTCTATCTATTTTTCTTTATTTTTTTCCCCTTTTCTATATAAGAGGTGGAGGCCAGGTTCCATTTTCGTCCTTTCAGATAAATGGGAAGTGTGTTGTTTAATTGTAAGGAAGCTTTACTGCTTTCTCTTTCCTGAGCACTGTAGAGGAAAGATGTTCAGAAAGGCTGTATCCCACAGGAATGTGTTTGGGCTGATGGAGGCAGGCAGGCTGCAAGCACATCTGTAGGGATTTATGGTGATCAGTTTTTCAGGCATTAGGAAAGCCTTGAGAGCACATTATTTTTAAATGAGTTATATATTTAGCACTATGCCCGCCATTCTTTCAGTTCTAATTTTAGAGGGCAGGGGACAACTCTGGCACTATTGTAGCCTTGTCTAAATTTAATATAGTTGAGCAGCTGATGATTATCAGAAAGATTGCCTTTTTGCTCCTTCAGGAATTTTTCACTTAGGAAAATAGTCACTGTACTACTCTGCTTTGGGGTATTGTACTAGCTGTTGTACACAAGAAAGAAAAGTGTGCTCTAAAATAGCCTTTTTAGCCTTACCTCTTAATCCAGTGAAGGTTTTCAGATACGAGACAGGAAAAGTGTGGTTGACATGAACACTGATTTTCTGTTGAAAGAGTAATAACTTGATGCAGGCATTTGGCACACGAATATGCTGGTGCTGGTCCACCTCCATGGCAGTGCTGAGGATCTTCCAGTTCATAAGGTGCCTTGCAGAAGTGTGAGGAGTGTTGTTTCCCTCTGCTCGTCTGATGCTAAGACACCAATATGCCACCCGGAGTCATGCTATGAAGACCAGAAGAGGAGCCATTCTAACCCTTCAGTCCTGTTTTCTACAAGATAAAGCCCCAAACCAGCCCCCACATTACAGCCATGGGTAAGTGTGACTTTTAACTCTTATGTGGTTGAAGGCAGTCTAGACCTCAGTGTGTTGCTTTTTTATTAAGGCTGTAGTGAGCAATGTTGTCTTGAGTAGTGTCTCTCTAAGTCTGTCAGATGGTATTTGCCACTGATGTTTTATTGGAAATGCGGGGACTTGTGGTGCAAGGATGATTTTTTAAGTGTTTGTAAGTGATTAGAGGCAGCATATACAAGCATTTTAGTATTAGAAGCAAACATAATCTGCATAACTCTAGACAGTGTAAAAGACATTCTAAGCAGAGTGTGCTTAATGAATAACTCAGTACAAAGAGGCCTTCTAACTCCCTATGTATATTAAGCTTTTTCTTTCTTTCTGAAATATATTAATAGCTTCAGGAAGCCTTATTGATGCTGGCAAGTAAGCTTAAGCAGCCCTCTGAAGTCCCTGACATTTTGTGTACAGCATTAGACTTTTGCATATGGTTCCCCCCCACTCTTGAGTGTTTTTAGGTTGGGGTGACTGCAGGTCTCTGAGAAAGCAAGATTGATAAAGCAAAGCAATTGGTGTTATTTCCTATGCATGAAATTGATTAAATGCTTCACTAAATGGCTTATAAATTTGGCTCTCATATTTCTGTCACCCACTGCAAAGATTACAGAAACTCGTCTATAACCATGTTGTATACAATACCAAATTACAAAAGGTTGTAAAAACTAATGTTTTGTTTAAAGTTTTGAGCAGGACCATATGCCTTCAGTGACCTTGAGTAAGCTATTTTAATTCAAAACATTTCAAAGCGTAGAAGTGAAAGAAAAAAAATAATCTGCATAACAAAACTAAACTAACACAATTTAATATCTATTATTATTGCTGAAAAAATGTTGAATTCCCTTCTACTAGAATTTTATAATTTTATAGGCACAAAGTGTACACAGCATGAAACCAAATAAGCTCAGGTTTCCCTAGGCTGAAATGATTGGGTTTTCTTTATATGCTCTGTTATCAAATTTATCTGGGAGGGTATGCAGTCTCCCTTACTCCTGAATTCACAAGCAGGAGGCACTGGTGGTTTTGACCTCACTAAGCCCTTTGTAATAAAGCTTTATTAATTTCTACATTAACATGATTTTTCCTTACCTCCCAAAAGGTGAGTAAGAAACTCAGGTATGTATGCTGAGGATCTCAAGATCCCAAAAGCAGGTGGGAACACAGCTTGCTCTTGTACTTGCTAAATTCTTTTTCATTTGGTGTGCTGTAAACAGGCAAATAACTTTCTGCAGGCTGAGCATTGAGGTATAGCTGTGCAAGCATAGTCAGCTGCTACTGAACATGGTGCAGTGTGGGTTTCCTGACTATCTTACTCTCATATGGTGTCCTGCACGTGCTTAGCAGCTGCTCGTTACACCCAGAGTTATGCTCTTTGTCCACAGCAGAATAAACTTTTGGTCAATTGAGACTTCTATTATTATAAATTCTTGTACAGACTTGTGCCTTGGACATCCTGGTATAAAAGTCTGACCTAGAAACTTCAGCTTGCCTAAACCTTTGTAATTGTAGGAAAGGATGTTACTTATAAAGTCAGATATTAAACATACTAGTTATAGCTAGAGACTAGAAAAGCCAAGTTGCTATTATAAATCTGGTAAATACTGCCCTTCCAGCAATCGTAAATCTTACCAGATTCTTTTCACATGCAGCTCCATTTTATAGATGGGAAAGCTCAGGTTCGGTAAGCAAACAGGCTTTGCCTAGTTTGCAAAGCCTGAGACTCAGCTCTAGCTCTTCTGCTTCCTAGAGTTTTAAGAACTCCAACATGGTCTCCTTAGTTATAGAAATGAAGATCTGAAGAGATTAAATGTACTCAAATACATACAAGTACTTGAAGCAAAGTTCATAGCAAGCTGCAGTGATTTGGCATGAAATGCAAATGTAAGCATGAGAAAATAATCCATGTTTTAACCATAAATGCCTGTTTTCTACAGGAAAAGCTATGTTCTCCTATAACATTTACAAGCCATCATGTCCCCAGCAAGGATTAACATTTGGCATCGAAGTACTGATCTGGCAAAGAGCTGCCAGTAATGTAATCTCTTTTACAACCAATGACATGCTTAAAGTCTTGACGGACTTGACCTCTGCCCATTGCTAATCCCTCACTTTCTTGCCCATTCAGATGTACATCTTTAAAGAGATGGCACCAAATGTATAGCAAACTGCTAGACTTTAACTGAAGGTGAAACGAGCTGCCCAGAGAAAAGCAGAGAGTGGCCAGAAACTTGAGTGTTCTCTACCAACCAGACATGTGCTGAGATTTTGACCCCATTAGGGGGAAAGAGGTGCTTGCTCAGTAGCACATAAGCAGTGACTTTCCCTCCTGAGGCAGGAGAACACACCTCTTGGCAAGTGTGGCAATAAAGTATTTGCTTGGTTTACAGGTGTACTGAAGAGGTCTAACTTTAATCAGACTCTTTGTGCTTAAATCCTGAACAGTCCTTGATACCAAAGGATAAAACTTAAAGTAGCTGAAGCTCACACGTGGAAAAATGATGTCTAAAGAAACTTTATATTTTACTGTATCAGTTTCTAAACTCCCCATTCAGGCGTTTGGGTTGAAAAACCAAAGTGATGGATTTACACTATGCTCAGAGAAAATAACAGTCAATCCAGAAAGATTCCAGCTGTCTTTTCTTCCATTTGTATGACAGTGAGTCCTGGGACACATGCCAGCTCCCCAGATATTGCTGCTCCACAGTCTAGTTATTCTAACTTCTGGCAACTGGTTGTTTGACCTTTTGGTGGCTTGTCATTTTAATATCACTTTCTCTATGTGGATAATCTAGTGGGAATCCCTCCTTTATAATGCAATAGTCTATACATGGTAATTAGCCAGAACAGTGAAGTATTGTGCTGTTAAGTCCAGTGTTGAGCCACAGCTGAGGAGCACTTATTGTGGTTGGAAACACAAAAAATATGGTTTAGTCTCCTGTTTGTGAATTAGTGGTCCCCAGGCACTGGCAGAAAAGTCTAATCTTTTCTATGCCATGTGTTATGTACCAGTTTTTGGATTGCTCTCTGAAGCCATGTGATAGCAATCTCCTCCCAGATGACTGCAGCCCTGGCTCTGAAGAGAACACAAAGCACACATCAGCTGAGTAGCATCAGCCCTCAAAGATTTTGCTTCCTTATGGGTGAGTTGCACCACTTCTGTGTGAGAAACCAACCAGGTGTAAAAACCTGTCTGTATTCTTCTATCCCATTGCCAGTGATTACGAAGTGGCATAGAAGCTTGTGGTGTGCTCTGAATCCCATAGAGATCCTTCAGTGAGTGGCCTGTACTGTGGGATGAGGGCTTCTTTTCATTAGCTTCTGAAGCAGCCTAAAAGCATGTCAGAAGAGCCTGGGTATCTCTAGACAGCCTAATATTCTGATGCTGTATTCAGTGAAAAAGCATGCGAGCAATCCAAGCAAAAAAAAAAAAAAAAAAGTGGCCATATATCTTTAATTTAAGGCCATATTCCAATGTAAATGCTAGGTCCACAGTGAGCAGTCAGGGCAGAAAAGGATCTTAGGCAATGGTGTATTCAGTCTGACATGGACTTAAGTAGATTCCAAAGTAATCCATTATACATCAAGTGTTTAATCGACATAATTAATATTTTTAAGGGGAGCCATTTACATTGTATGTTCTATACGCATTATTTACAATTTCAACAGTAACAGTTAATGCTCTGTGACAAACTATATTGTTTCCAGCTTGTTATCCATTCATAACAAGGTCAATCTATTACCATTATTTTTTGTGAATGTAGCTGTTACCTTGAGGCAAAAAGTTAATTGTAAATTACGGAGGAGGGATTGAGTTTTTTCAACTGTACTCACTGTAATGTATGATAATGGTGCTATTTTATGAAACATTTACATTTAAAACCATTTTGTTATTCATATCAGACATGCTGGACAAATTCACTTCCAAACTTTTCACAAACTTAATGGGAAGAGCCATTTGAGAGGATGCAGCTGAGCATTTCATAACTGCTGCAGTTAAAACCAGATGTGGTCTCATCTATTTTTTCCCCTATGTCTGGGAGTGATCCCTCTGCCATTACTGTCCAACACAGCTCTGAGAGATGCTTAGTGCTCAGAAGCTGGAGCAGATATGATTGTAATTTAGACCAACGCTTTAGCTTTTGCATCACAAGAGCAGTCTGTAAGAGATGCATCTTAAGATTTTATTCAGCTTCTAATCTACACAAAATACGTACTGTTTTGGGCTTTCTTGCACAATTTCTATTGTTGTCTGATTCCCTAGGAGACAAAGTCATTGTATATTTATGCCTTGTCTTGTTTGCCTCACCTGAGCAAAAGTCCAAATGCATGTGGCATTGCTGCTTTCTCAGCTGTTTCCCAGATCTCAGTAAAAGATGTCATTCATAATGCAGAAAAGGAGAATCATCTTAATCTTTCCCACATAATTTTAATGATTCATCTGAAGGCAAAGCCCGTGAGCTTTCTATTGGAATGTATACTTGTCTGAATGGAGAAATGATACCACTCAGTCCAGTGCTTCTGCTGCACCCCAGATGTGGCAGCTCTGTCCTCTTCTTTGGTCTCCATGTCAATTGTCTTCTGCATTTGTGCTTTGAATGAGGTGATTGACTTAACCACATTTCATTCTGGTTTCAATTATAAAGCTGACATTGAATCTTCACAATCATTTCCAGAATAAAAGAAGATAAACTTGTAAACACTGAATGTTTTGAGCTTTCTAAAGAGAGCAAGGAGATGAAACTGAACAGATGCAGAAATGTATTTCTGGTAGCACAAGAATAAAAGAAGTATCTTAGAGTTCTATCTTCCTTCCTCTATTGTGGAATAAGCAAGTGAAGCATGTTGGGGTATTTGTCTAAATGATCCTATAAAAATGTGTTCTAACTTCTCAGTGATGAAGTTTGTGGTATGCTTGTGGTGCTTGGGTGAAAAGAAATCGATTTCCTCTGAAATTTTATGGGGAACAATTTAAATTATCTGTTGTTCAAGCATCCAAATGCTCACTTGAAAAATCTATTCCTTTCGTTAAGTCCTAATGAAAAATAAATTTGTCAAGCTTATGTCTTCTATCTGGAAGACTTAATATGCTGAATCAGACCAGTGGTTTGTTGTTTCTCTCACCATGCAATCAAACTTGAAGGCATTGTCAAGAAATAGCATATCTAGCTTGGGAAGGGTTAAGCACCATTATTTCTGTGGTCTCCATCACTGGTAGCATGTTCAAAGTGCACAAAGCTCAAGACATGTGCATTCTTCGTCCAATAACTTGTCCAGTAATTGGTATATTGATTGCTAATGTCATCATGTTTTAGTATATATAAACCCTCTCACTCTATCATACAGCCGCCAACAATCCAAGAAGTCATTGTTTATTCATTGTAACTCCCAAACTGGCCGTGTCAGATTCTGCTTGAGGCCTTGCTGATAAAAATCAGCAGATGATTGGGCACACACATTCTTAACATGGCTGACCCATGACATCTTAGGGCCAGCAGGGAGCCTGTCATTATGTGTACAATACTCCTCTTTCTTTCCCCTTATCTATTCCCAGATGACTTTGAGATTTTTATTAACTCATTAATGACTGAAGATGTCATTAAAGAAAGTGGAGGGATAAGAGGAGGACAGTGGAGAAGGACGTTTTGTTTGTTTGTTTAAAAGTGGAAAGCAGAGAGCCATTGGCTCCAGATAAGGAAAGACAGTGCTTAAAGCCAAAACTGAAATAGAACCAGGGAAAAGATTGTTCATTTATTAGGATGCCTAAAGCTAAGCCTTGGAGGGGGAACAGTGAGGAAAACATTATTAGGCCACTTTTGAAATACAATTAAGAAGGGAGGGAGGGATTTCTCCACAGAAAGAAATAGCCTAAAAAAAGGCTGCTTTATGTAGTATAACTGGTAGTCTTTGCAGGCAAGGTGGGATGTGTTCCTGGCACTGTCTAGGTGTTCAAATTACTGAATACAAAACTCATTCCAAGCATGCATTTTATCAAATGCCTTTAAAGTATGCTACTTTATATGGAGAAATAGTATCTGCTTTTTCTGTTGTAAATACAGCAATTGAACAGATACTGAACACCATTATACAGTAATTACACCTGCAGTTCTTTTCCATATTTTCTTGTGTCCTAAGAATTCTATCTGTAAATGTAGCAAACTGTTGATGTAAGTATGCATATTTTTGTGGGTAGGATTTGATTGCATTAAAATGTACATTTGGTGCAATACTTTCCAGTGGGTTTGCTCTCAGTCAGCTTCTGATTCTATGCAGTCAGTCATTAAGCTTCCCTTGAATTCTGGATAAACAATTAGTCCCACGCTATGTGCTTATCTTCCATTTTAAAATATTGCCTTTTTATAATTTCTCTTCAAAAGATCTCATTTGATATTTATATTGGGATCTGGATTCATGTGACAGACTTTTTTTCCACCCAAAATTTGGGTGTTTCTTATAGTCTGAGGCCTGTTGGTTGAGAACCAAGGACTTAATATTTTGAGGATTGGAATTTTATTTTAATTATTGCCATTTGTAGATTGACTGAGGAACAGTAAATGCTTTTCTGTCTCAGGCAGCTGCCCTCCATATGGCTGCTGATCTCAACCTAGAAATCTACAATGTGATTGTAGTGGCACTGGGTGTTACACTGACATAGATCTAGATGTCATCTGCATTGGCTGGCCTTTAATAATCTTTGTTTCAATGTCTGTCTTTTTGATGAGTGGGAGAAAGATGAGCATGTTTCCCTGAAGGACCACCAGCTATTGCTATAAAGTAATAGAAAAAACTCACTGTGTGGGACTACGAATCACAAAGTTCAACTAAAGTGGCCATCTGCTTACTGCATCTTATAAGCTGCAGATAGTGGCAGTGCAGTCAGGTATGGCAGTCTGACCTTACGGGCAGGCAAAAAAAAAAGATGGCATGAACACCTCAGCATTTGCTGCCCTGATCAGCTATGCCTGACTTTAAATCAGTGTGCCACATACCTCATGCACCTCATTGCAAGGAAGCTTCCCTTCCCCCTCATGTTCTGGCATGCAGGCTCTCTCCTATTGTGTGCTGAAGTGAGAACCTGTGATGAATCTCTGGGTAATGGACTGTTGCTTTGACAAACTGCTTCTCTAGTGAAACACATGCCTGTCTTGGTGACGATAATAGCAAAGTGCAGATTTTGTGGAAGAAATAGAGGCTTTGAGGGCTACAGCACCAGACTCTGAGTCTATAAATTGCTGGACTGGGATGTTCGATGCCTTTTAATATTTTCAAACATCCAGTAGAGTAATGAAAGAACTGTAGGACTATCCTGATGTGAGACCTCGGGAGAGTTGTTTTCAGAGATCATGGGAGCTCACAACTTGTTTAAGAACATGAAGTCCTATCCAAGTAATAGCTGGAAATAAGTTGCTTGATTTTTCTGTCCCCAAAGACAAATTCTTGTAATAGCAAAAGTGTAAAATCCAACAAAGAGAGGCTTGATACTTTCAGATGCTGCAGCCACTTCATACTGGGAAAAAAAGGCATACTGACAGTGAAACTATTTGGGGTAAATAATGAGGACAGACTTCCCAGAAATAAACTGGCATGGATTTGGCCATGAGATGTCAGATTTGTAACTTGGGAAATGAAAGCTTCTATATACCAGCGAGCAGGCCCTACCCCAGCATGGCAATTCAGCCTCCTGAGCCGCAGGGATTTCTTTATAAGCAGTGGTATATTAAATGTGGAATCGGGTAGGCCAAAGGGACAGCAGTAAAACAGACAACGTGCAGTGACCAAAAATGAGCTCAAGCCAGACACACTAATTACTTATTGGTAATTTTGTTTTCCTATGGAGTTGGTTATTACCTCTTGCTCCTGGCAAGTTAATGCTTTTTCTGTCACTTCAGTTTTGCATCTAGTATTTTTTTTTTTTTCCAGTTTAACAGGAGTTAGGCAGAATGCAGTTTTTGTCTACTTACCTGGCTCGGTAGCTTTATCAGTGTAGAGGCAAGGGGTGAGTTTTTACACTGTACAAATCGCTGGCGTGGGCTGAGGAAGAGCACTTTTAGACAGGCCTAGGTCAACAAAACAGATTCATCCATCACATCTGCCAGAATGGAAAGATAGTTGTCTTGATGCTCGGTCAATCTAAGACCTTTCTGCTGAGTCAACTGACAAGATTGCAGATATTTGTGACAACGAGGATGCTTATCCCCTGGTAAGTGGACTGAAGACCACCTACGCGTTTGGCATTGGATCTCCAGCTGAGGAAGCCTTAAGTTGCTCTGGCACATCAGCACACTGCTGTTTGCAGTCATCTTCTAAGTTGGGCTTCATTACCAAAAACTAAACCAGAATAAGACAAAATAACAAAAGGAATTCTGAGGTGATAATGGAGGAAGGTGTGAGAGCCAGTAGAAAGTACAGTAAAGAACCCCATGACAAGTCATGATAAATGGGTCGTTATAAAATTCATGTTTAGGCTGCACCAGGCTGGGGATAATGCCATTCGTCATGGCAACACTGGGGCACTAATGAGCCCTCATTGCATATTCATGGCTGTGGTGCCTCTCTGCCTCCCTCCCACCCCGACCCAATGCCTGGTAAATATCTCCACCTCAAGCTGAAACTCGACTTAGGCTGCTTTTTTTATTTGTTATGTTGCAGCAATTACACTGTAAAAGTGCTGCACAAGATTGATTGCTCTGATCTGTAGTTCAATTGTAAATTAGAATACACATCCCCCTGGGGACACACGGCCCCTATTTGTGATTAAGAAAAAAGCCCCATAATAGACTAATAGCTAAAGTTCTCTCTTTTACTTTCAGGCAATTAGCTTGATGAAATGGCCTCTTTTTGTGTACCCTGGAAGTGTAAACCGATATCATAATGAAGTATATGATGTTTATTCTATTATTTTCACCTTGCCATGTATGCAGGAATGCATAAATAATGGCTGCTTTGTCTAGTACATTTACTGATTCAGAAGTAAACTATGTCTTAAAGATGCAGCATAAGATCCTGCAGCCTTACGTAAACCGAACACCTTGACCAGTCCCTATGAAAACTGAGGTTCTGCCTAAAGAAATTGGAGACTGTTTTTAGCCAGGTGATTAAATACTGTTCACAAGACACTTTCATTTGTAAAGAACTTTAATTGGAAAGTCCTCCTAATAACCTTGTGAGTAAAAAATCAGGTGTCTCCATTCTGCAGGGAAGAAAACTGATGGGGCGGTGTTGAACAGGTTACACAAGTCCACACAGGACCCCCTCAGTCAGTGTTTAAGGAATCCTAGCTCTGTGGGCATTTTTCAGGCAATCAGGAATGCCCTTTCCTCTCCTGTAAATTAATGCTGTCTTGGATGTTCACAGAATGGCTCTGACCTCAAAAATGGAAAACTTTGTCATGGTTGCCTTCCTTCCATGAGACATAGGTGGTTAAAGCTCTTTCATCTGAATCTGAGGTGGATATGGTTGTGTGTGTGTTCAGTATCATGTGCTGGATGCTGGTGTTCCCAAGACTCTCTGAACTGTCAGTCTGGGAAAATAGTCATGTTGTGCAATGGCCTTGTAGCACAGTGATGGTGTTCATGCAGTTAAGCTTGAGATAATTATCTGGGAAGAAAACTGCCATATGCCAATAATTCTGTGCATACCTGCTTTGTGGCAAGAGGTGTTTCTCAAGTAGTGTTTCATTTTGGGACAGGAGTGTATTTTAAGTGAATTCTCCAGCTGACCCTGCGTTCTGTGCTCCACAGCATGCGAGTCCTTTTGTGTGAAATTAAACTAGGTAATGCAGTCTGGGAGTTCCAGCAGCTAGTTAATGGGCACACACCAGAGCTCAACCAAACAAACCTCTGACCTGGGGCAGGCTCCTGCGCTTGGAGCAATGTGGATGTCCCTTTATTGACCTATTTGCCAAGAGAGGTGTAGTCCCTAACTTGTTATCCAAGGAATTAAGAGAAGATCAAATAGTATGACTGGGAGGTCATGTGAAATAGCCTGAAAAACTTGCATGAGAAAGTGGCCTAATTTGTTTAATATATGTATTATGTTCTACATACTTCATCTACAATAGAAATAATTTCATTGAGAGTATGAAAGAGGTTCTGTAGGGGAATGTAACAGTTCATAAATGTTCTGTTAAGAAATGCTACTGATGCAAACCTTTAAAAGGTAACACTGCACACGGCTACAATACCATATTCTGTTTAAACTTGTTCATCATTGTCTTCTTGCATGACAGCCCTGGCATTTAAAATATGTTAGGGGTGACACAATACTTTCACCTGGTGCAGGCATATATCACTGGAAGGATGTTCTCATAAACAAAGTGCTGCAGGCAATGATCTTATCGTTCTCGTCTTCCTTCTTCTCAGTTCAGTTCAATGACAAACACGTATTTCTCTTCTTTGCTCCCTTTTCTGGTCTGGAGCAGCAGGTGATGTTGCAGATCAGGAATGACAAGCACTGGTGGTGGCCTGGCAGGGACAAGCAGTAGATGGGCAGTGAGCATGCGATGTTTTGTAATGTTTGGGCTGGTGAACTGATTCTACATCGCGCTGCAATTTTATAGCGTGAGCAAAAGTTTACTTGTGTGCATGCCTGCACACGTGTGGTTTTTGAGAAAGACATAAAGCAAATTAGAGCGTTCATATGTAATTAGTTCACTATTAGTGTAGTTCAGCCAAGGTGATAGGCAGGCAGTAAACTTGGAGATAGCTCAGAGATAAAAGGACTGAGGGTGTTGTGGAGAGATCTGGAGGTAGTAGTTCAGAGGAGAAATTCCTGACAAATTGAGCAGACATCTTGGGATGTTCCTGCCCCACACCATTATCACTGCACACCATCCCTGTGTTGTCTGCCTTGTCCCCTGCCCGAAGCCTAACCCTTCCTGGCATCTAGGGCTCTTTCACCTTAGATAGCCCACTTCTAAATTACTTAAGAGTTAATCACCATTTTTGTCTTAACACATTAGTCTGTGAACTAAAAGTGGCTGAAATACCCTGCTCAGACTTCCTGTCCTGTTTGTGACAGTGTAAGAAAAATGATGCCCTGTCCTTAGAGGCACTCAGGGTCAGGCTGGACTGGGCTCAGGGCCCCCTGATCGAGTTGCAGATGTCCGTGTTCATTGCATGTGAGTTGGGCTAGATGACCTTTAAGGGCCCCTTCCAATTCAAAGGATTCTAGGATTCTATTCCATAAGGGAAAAAAGGCTATCAGCCATGTGGAGGCTGGAATACCTCCAGGTATTTCTGTAGAAATGTAGATGACAGTGTCTAATAAAAAAAGAGTTATCACTTACCGTGTGTAAGCATCACACTTGGAAAGAAACCCAAACCCTGAGTTCCAGTATGTGCAACCTCTATGGGAATGTGAGTATTTCACTAAATCTGTACGCTAATGAAAGTGACATAAGATTTTTCTCTCATTGTGTAGCTAGTAGAGAATACTTCATCCTATGCTTTGGGAGTTCTTAAGATTTCATTGTTTTCAACTAATTCTGTGACTAACTAACACATTTAAAAGGAAAGGAATAAGCACCAAATTATTTTCTTCAGTAATCTCAAAATATTTCTTTTTTTTTTTTTGCTTTCATATAGAAATTAAAATTTTAAACCAAAGCATATTTCAAAGCCAGTGATAATTTAGAAGAGTATCTATTGAGACACTTTCCATTATTTTGAAATCTATTTAACTTGTTTTTAGTTGGGAAGCCTCTTGAAAACTGATTTGTTCACTCCAACCCTTTTTACCTGTTTGGCATTATTATCCCACACAAAGTTTTCATGGAAAACCCCAGACACAGTCCATATACATCATCCAGTATTTCACAGTTGTTTTGTTTGGGATGGATTCTGAGGAGGAATTACAGAACTTTGTCCCCCAGTACTGATCTGAATTATTTCTGTTAACATAAAAATGTTAGAAGGTTTGCAAAGCTTCCTTGCTTTCTTAGCCAGTGTGTGAGTTCCACTGCACATCCTTCTACTAGAAATCCATCCTACAAGTCGCATGAAACCAGAAAGGTTAATGGTATCAAAGGAGCTGCACTGATTGAATTCTAAAGCTTTTCTTAATACAGTTATATATTTTTAATGTTCTGTGGGAGAGTACCACAACTTAACTGTATTGCTTAACAAATATATATTATTATTTTTTTAATTTAACCCTCTTTTGCTCCTTGTACTAAAGTGAGCAAACATCTTCAGAATGTTCTTCATATTGCTTGTCATTCTGTAAACCTCTGCCACCTCCTTTCCCAGAGTTCTAAATGTATGTAGTTTTTTTCTCATGTGGAAGCAGATGCGTAGTTACTCACAAGACAGCTATTAAACAACTGTTGCTACTGAGACTGAAACTCTTCCAAAAATTAATTTAAAATAATCCTAAATGCGCAAATATCCAATGATCAGGCAGATCTGTAAAACCTGCCCCGAGCAAAATCATGCAATTAGAATAATGCTCATAAGTGTTGGACTCTTAAAACTTTAATAGATCATTTTAATGGAAGGAGTTATTAAAATTTGTATTTGATTTGCATTATTACAACACTTAATGCACTATGGAAAGTTGAGTTCATGAGAGAAGTACGGCAAAAACGAGATTCTTACTATCTGAGTTGAAGCTTTAAAGAAAGAGCGTGTTCTGCCTGAATTTTCCTTAGTTTTATTGCTCTTCTAAATGGATAAAAACACCTATTTTATCATAGAAATGGCTAGGCAAATTGCTTGAGATTGATATAAAGCCTCAGAAGAGTGATTTGAGGAGTGAAAAAATCCTTCCCAGCGTTGTATTTCACGTATGAGAAGTGGTGGTGTTCTGATCATAACTGCTATCAAAACACCTTCAGCTGCAGAGTTTCTGTAGGTGATTTAGGAAAAAAGGTGTTCCATGTGCAGTCACCGTTACAAAGAAATTCATGACTCTTTAGCAGGCATTCCTTGGTTTATTTGTTTCAAGCAGACTAATTTCTGCATCTGTGTGACTTCTTTTCTGTTGGACACTTACCCTGCCCAGTGCGTTTATAAAATTACCCATTTCATTAGTGTTCCATCCTCAGCAAACTTGTTGCACAAATGTCTTCCATAATGGAAAGCAGAGACTGGAATCAACAGAATTTCCATCATTCCCAAAAATTTTGGAATAATCCTGCAAGGGTTGTGCATAAATACATATATAAATACAAATAAAAACCATATAAAACCACATATAATCTCAAAGTGGAGCAAGGAACGCAGTGAGCTTGTTTTTATTTCTGTATTTTTATTTGCATTCTTTAGAATCCCCAAGAAGAGATGTGCTCCCCATGACCCTCGTGCACGTTGTCAAATTCAGTGTTTCAGTGTTTAGACTTGAGTTGATTTAAACTACTATAGGAGTGCTCTGAGTTTTTCAAGGCAGCTCAGATGTTCAGAAATGGTGTCTGTGTGTACAAAAATTCTTTCTTTTAAGAGAATTGTGCCAATGAATTGGAAAAAGGAGAGTAGTTATATTAAAAATAGAAACAGTGTCCTATAGAAAAATATTGTCTACCTTCTGAGCTTACTATATGGTTTAAAATTCAATAATCAGGCTCTTAGCAGGTGTAAATCATCACAGGAATGATGCTGTGATGCTTTATATGATATTACCCAATTGTCTTGCTGGTAATTAAGAATATCCTCGATGGAATAAGGACCAATGACAGAAGAAAGTGTGAGTTGGTATTGTCTCAGCACACAGAAGTGGTAGACAGAAATATTCATGTGCATAATCTTACACCTTGCCTACACATGATACCCAGCGGGCTGAAGTAATAGCCTACAGTATAATCTTGGAAAAGGCACTTCTAACAGAATGAAAGTCTTATGGGTTTTCTGTAAGTTTCTCATAATTATACGTGGCAACACAAAATGAAAATAAACTAACAGATATGCATTTAGAAAATGTTTCTTTGAGCTTCTCTTAAAAATCCAGAGCATACTATACTCAAATGTTCTCAAAGCCCTATTTTTTTTTATTTCATCCAAAGAAAATCAGCATTTCTTCTTTTTCCTCTTTCTTTTCATGGGTTTCCCTGTATTCCACAGCCCAGAGAAACAAATGCAATTTCTATTATTCCTGAAGGTAATGAAGTCAACCTGATAAAATGCAGCAAACCTTTGTACTGAATTTCTAGTGTAAGTTTCAGGGGAAAACTGAGATGTCTACCTCTTAATTAAATAGTCACTTCCATGAAGATTCATATAAACCATGCTGTCTGCTACAGTGCAGTTCCTTTAACCTAATGAGCCTCTTCCAAAATCAAACTTTTCATTGCGAAGCAGGTGCTTCCTCTCCTCAGTGCATCTCTTCTGATTATTACAAGAAGTTTTATTATTTAAACAGCCTCTTTAAGGAGGTGTCTGTTTTGAGATATGTAATCTCATGGCTGGGATCTTGGATGTAGATGAAATGTGCTCTGACCTATGCATACTGCTCATAGCTTTCCCAGTATTAAATGGACCTTTGAAATCATTTGTTTTTTAATTCAAATCGAGTTGCTCTGGGAATGGAAGGTCTAAATTCCATTTAAACAGTTATATTGCTGGTCATTTGTTCCCTGCATTATTACTTGCATTATTATGATCAATTTTGCTTCTGCTATCCCCCAAAAAAACTTTAGGAATAATCAATGGGGAGGAGGGGGGAGGAAGCACAATGCATAACAGTGAATGATGTTTGGATGCATGTGTTGCAAGTATCCTGTAAGAATCATGATGACATTAAAGGGCCAAACGCAATAGATGAAGATGTGCACACAAAAGAAGCCTTTGGAAATCTTTATTGCAGTTATCTAAAAGGTATTTCTAGATCAGATGAAATCAAGAAAGAATTAGGATACATATGACTAGCACTTATCTCATGTATGTTGTATAAGGCAGAAAGTACTGTGTAGTAAGAGGTCATAGAGCAAGAACCACTATCTGAGGCATCAAGTGCAAACGTGTTACAATCAGAAGATTTTTTTCTGAGTAGTAGAAATACCTGAAATCATCAAAGCCAAATGTGGATGGCTCTGTGCAAGGCTTCAGGGATGTTCCTCTGGAAGCTCTGCTCAGGCATTCTCATCTCAACAGCTGTGCAGTCTAAGCAGGGGAATATTGAACATTAGCATTTTTCTGAAGCTACTTAATGTATTTAGGCTCTTTTTTGACCTGTTGGTATCCTGAGTTCTCTTGTAAGTTCTCTTAGCTTTTTCTCCTTTATTAATATACAAGTACCCACATATGAGGACTGCTGAGATGCTGCCTGTTGTAAAAGAGCAAATATTTTGTATAGAGAGTAAACGCTGACCTGCTATTAAATGAGTAGATCAAATGATATCTTGTGCCAGCCCAGTGAACTCAACTCAATTTATGAACATTAGAGTCTTGCAAATCTCTGGTGTTTTATTCAGCAAAGCAGATGTGCCAATGGTGACCTCACCTCTGAAAAACAGGTATTTTACATGTTGCTCTCCTGCTGACTGTGAGAGAAGTCTCAATCACTTAGCTTGTCGCACCTACAGCTCATGTAGAAGTTGTGAAGATTTAAGTGATGTTAGGAACAGAATCTGTATTTTGGACAAAACTAGTTATGTTTAACAGGTGAAGTGCAAATCCACATTGTGACTCAGATGTATTAGCTATAACCCTGCTTTAGCCTGGGAAGAATTACTTGCATCCAGCGAAGCCTACCTCAAGGAATTCCTCATTCTTTTGGCAGAAGTGATGGTTTGGTTAAACTTTCCCTTGCAAGTAAAGTCCCATGGCTTTTTCCTGGCTGAACAGTGCTGCAGATAGGAAGGAATAGGTTTGTTTACTCCTGCCAAGCCTGCAGCAGTCAGAAGGTGGGCAGTAGTGATGGGATGGGAAAAGGGTTGTGTTGGCACTATGCTCCTAGAGGAGCAGGGATGTGGCAGAGCACTGACAGCACTGACCCGTACCCAGGGCAGCTATGTGACATTCAGCTGTAGCGTGAGGAAACCGGTTTGTCGTTGCATCGCTCAACGTGTGATCTCAGCCCAGAGTGAGGTGCACCTGTGGGTGCAAGAGATAAGATTGCATCATGAATGCTGTGCTTGGATTCTGCAGATTTTCTTGTTTTCAGCCTCAGCTTGAAAAATGTGGTGGAATTCTCAGTTACCAATACTCCTTCATAGATAATCCAACTGAAGAAAACAAAGCATCTCTCCCTGCCTGCCCTCCTAATTACTGCCAGAAGGTACCAGGGCCCCAGAATAGATGGGAGCTCCCACAACCCAGGGCTCCTTGGCCTCAGAACTATATGAACATGAAGAAACATGTCCTTAGCCAGAATTATCTAAGCTATGAATGAAGTTTGTGAATATTTGTGTAATAGCACTGTTATATCCTAAAAATGTATTTTGAGTGTAGTTGAGAACAATAGTGTGTATAATTCAAAGAGTAACCAAGTATGTTAAAACATGTATGAAAAGCACAGAAGAGACAAGAGAAGGTATTGATAAAGGCAGGAGAAAAAAGAACACCTGTAGGGACAGTAGAAGGATGGCAAGTGTGATAGGTAAGATGAATCCTAATTGTTTATAAGATGGAAAAATGCATCTCCGGCATTGAATCTTTCATTTTCTCCCATGTTACAGTCCTTTTTCTACTGTCTTTATGCAGATGGAGCACTGAGGTTCTCCAGATATTCTTTTTCCTCCTGTATAAGGTGTCCTTTACGCTTTGATGAGATCACTGGTGTATTAGTTCATTTCATTTTTTCAGAAAGAATCCAGGAACCACAGTGAGGTCATGACTGTAGTAATGTCTGAAAGGATAGTTTTATGGAGGAAAGAAGTTGTCCTCTCCTTTAGTATAACAGTAAGGAAATTTGTGGCTCTCAAGTGTGTTGGACAAGTTAAGGTTCGTTTATTTTTTCTGTTGTGTATTATTTGCAGAAGGCAGCCAGCTTCATACTCTTATTTCCTACGTATTACATAAATCCAGGCTTGCAGGGAAAGCATCCTGCAAAAGCTGTGCTCCATTTTATTTTGAAAACCTGGTAGTTCCCCAGTCATACAGTCAAGCGGAATTATTTGTGGAAAATCAGACTCCTCTTATGAGCTGAATGTCACATCATTAGACCCTCATCATTCAGAGAGTGGGTTCCGTGCTGAGAATGTCATAGCTCCCTCGTTCAAGGAGAAAAATCCTTGGGCCATCCCCAGTCCCGTGGTATCGCTTTTTGAAGCATCTGTGCCTCATTGATCAATGGAAAAAATGCCAGATAAGGATTTAGACTGTGACATTTCAGGCAATTACAGCAATTTGGAAGTGCCAAACTTTCACTGTTGTTCTGGTTTTACCTCTGGTCTTTTCCACTTTGTTTGTAAAGTGAAGTGGCAAGGCTTTATGGTGTGATTCTGAAAGGACTCTAGATGGATTTAGTACTTGAAAGAAATATGTGGGCAGAAGGAATAATATGCTTTGCCTTTACCGTGGTCAGTGTATTGTATTTTAATGTGCTCTAATGAACTTAAAAATGACTCCCCAGTGTGCTTGCTCCTTAGGTCATAGGGCTTATTTTGAGTTTGCTGTCTTCCTGGATTCTTGAGATAATTCCCCCCGGATTTGTTGGGTCAACAACAAAGTGGAGATAACAAATACACGGCTGCTTTAAGCCAGTGCTGTGCTTTCTCCCTCTTTGCTGCGAGGATTTATGCATGCTAACAGTTACTCTGCTTGTAACTTAACAACTTCAGGGTATCTGTGACACAATGTAAAACCAGTTTTCCTTTCATTCCTAGAGACCAAACATCCTGGATAATCTGAGACAGATGCCACAGGTTTCATTTTGCTCAAAGTTTGAGTGTGTTAGTTACGCAGAAGGGAGTGGGAGACTAATTGCAGCATTGATGGTGATAGGGAGCCATGTGTTCTAAATGCCAGCAAGCCAAGGAGAGCCCACCTTTAGGTGACAGTAACATGCATGGCTGCAGAAAGACTACATGGGCATAGTAGGTCTTCCAATTTAAAAAGGCTAATTAATAATTCTTAATGGTCTGTGGCTTTCTGTGTATTTTGGCAGACTGAGGGAGGTGAGGAAACAGATTTCATTGCATTGTTTGAAATTACAAGGTTTAAAATTGTTTAAACAATAAGCAGATAGGGTTTCCACACCAGATTTGAGACATTTGTTCTCTTCTATTTGTATTAAAATTTCAGCTTGAGCTCACATTGTCATGCTATCCGGACTGCTTCCCAGACAAGCTAATTTGTCTACCTGTGTTCCATTTTAGGCCCTGGTTTTAATTTGAGGATGATTCCTGCTAATACCAAAGACTGGAGAGGACATCCATTAAAAGTCTACACAGCAATTGAAATGGAAAATTCCAAAAGAAACCCTATTAGAGTTTTTCTCCATCAAATCAACATTACAGACTTCTTATGCATTTCTTAATTAGACATTGATATTAACTGGACTGTTGCATGATTTAGATCTAGCTCTTAATCTCAGCTATTCTATGCTGCTGTAGTTTTTATGACATCCAACTAGCGACTGCTTTATGCATTAATCTATCTGGAAAACCACCTTCACATTTTTTGTCTTTTTTTAGAAGAATAAAGGCCCCAAGAAGGAAATGAAAGCTTTTGGGTTCAGCCATTAGTAATTTTCTGCTTAGTATTTGAAAAATTGCTTATTTTAATTGCTTCATAGAAGAAAAAGATATCAAAGCTAACGTTCTTTCTCTCCAAACTTTGTAATTATTTCTCTCAGACTCTTATTTGAAATGCCTTGAAAGGATTTTCATTGAAATGTAGATTTCTTCTCTTTCAAAAGTACTTTTATTCCCTCGTGTTTTTTTCCTCTTTTTTTTTTTTTTCCCAGTGACTTCCTCTCTACTTTAGGGCAAAATACATGGAATCCAGTGTCTGGAGAGGGCAACACATTACACACAGATGTCACTTAAGTGCCATCTTGTTTAAAACTAATTCTCCTGGTAGTTGGTGGTAGAGACCATGATAGCAGCCAGCCATTGGGTCCTCAGGCTTGATCTGTGCAGTGAAGTCATAGGTGTTGGACTAGGTGCACCACAGTCCTGCTCCTTTTGAAAATTGCTATGGGATTTGCTTATTAATAATCACTACCAAAATCAGGGGAGCCTAATGGAAAATTTTTGTAAATGTTTTGTGTCTGACAGTTAATCTGAATTTGGGGCTTGTGATAAAGTCTGGAGACAGATAAATTCTGTACAGTTTCAGGTTCTGTTTGCAGCTGTATAATCCCTGAATATCCCAATCTGGGATGGAATTTGCTAGCCAAACCCTGTCGTTAGCTCTGCATTGTATATAAACTCCAGCAAAGAGACTCAGACCTATGTTGGCCTCACCAGTAATCCCTGATACCAATTGAGCAATAGTAGCAAGTTCTTTATTTCACCTATACGTTTTCAGAGAACATTATTTACTCATAGATTATGATCTGGTCAAAATGATCTATACATTCATTATGTCTGGAGTGGGCTTTCATAACTCACACTATCTAAGAATGAGGCAAAACTCACATTTGTTTATAGTGCAGCAGTTCTGCTCAGCAAAAAAGGCACAGAGGAAATACTGTCCTATGCGCCCTGTGCTCTGCTCTGGATCCCAGGTGATTTCTCATGCCAGTTCAAAAGCATTTTTGAGAGCTCCACGAGAACAGGGTCCTGACTGCTTTAGAGAACCCCTCAAAATACAGCTGTTCTGTCTGCAAAGTGGCTCTGCAAGACTTCCTCCACTGTGGCTGAGCTAGGGGGAATCTTCCCAATGGAACAAAACCTTTTGAGAAGAAAAGGTTGAAATGAAGCTAAAGCATTCTCAGTATCAGATTTTACATGTGTGTTTCTTGTTGGTTTTGTTTTTTTTGTTGTTGTTGTTTTTTTTTTTTTTGCAAGAACACAAAAGGAAGAAATAGAACAAGAAAATGAGTTAGAGGAAGATGGAGAGATGGTCTATTAAGCAAGGCTACTTTTTTTACTCTCTGAATTTACAGTCCTGATAGACATCTTTATTCAAAATTACTCATTTTTTATATTCAGATACTACAGTTTTCAATACTAGGCCCTAGATTTGTCTAGACAGATTACCTTCTTATTCTCACAATGAAACTTAATTATCCTTTTGATATCTTCAGGTACTTTCAGTTATTTCCTGATCTATTTCTGAGAACAGGGAGCAGCCGTTGGTCAGTCAGTAGTGCAAGAACTCCACCTCCCTGCTCGTCATGCTTTTTTGAAGGCAGAAGCTTTCTGGCCCTGAGTTTCCTCTAGAAAAAATTTAAGGGCATTTTTCTCTGATTTACCTTTGTTGAGCTTTCTGACTGGGCAGAGACTTGTCATTTTCTCGTCACCTTTCTGTGTATTATTTGGAAGCACCTAGTGTGAGTAACTCACCTGGAATCCACAGAGGGATGTATGTATGATTCATCACTCAGACAAGAATAAACCCTCATGAAATCCAGAATGGAAATGACTGCATGGTTTCAAACATCCTGTATAACTGCTGTTGCAGCAGGAAGGAATGCATCTGAGTAAAGTCAAAATGACTAAATAAATTGGTTCAAAGCAGCAGTAGGAGCAAAGAGGGCCATATAAACTAGTATTAAGTAGTTGCTAGACTTCAGGACATTTCATTGATTTCATCTGTAAAGAAATCTACAAACACACATCTGTCTATTATCACTACCTTCTGTAATTGAGCAAAACTACCAAAGGGTAAAACACTAGCTAATGTGTTAAGGTTGTATAAGATAACCCAGAACTTGCAAATACTGAAGAGAAAATGATAATGAGTATCCATTTGGTTTTTGAGAGCTGTTTTTAGGTTGTGATATGTTTGTGAAAGCCTCTATTACTCAAATAAAAAGGTAGAGAAATGTTACAATAAGTTAAAATAGCCTTAAAAAATCTGCCAACTGATCAGAAGGTAGAGAGGTAGCACAACTGATGTGTGCTATAGAATCTTTTACAAAAGAAATGTGAAATGTCAAAGGGCTGATCTGGTAAAATAATTTTAATATATAAATGGAATGGGTGTTGCTACGGTATGGTACACAGGTATGCGTTATGGGATTGAACAAGTAGCGGTCAAATGCATTTTTATGACGAGGCTGGGATTAACAGCAGACTTCGTACAGACTTTATACATTGCATTAAACTAAAACTGAACAAAAATCCACTTACGCAGAATTGTATTCATATTCTGTTCTGTTCACATCTCCATGGAAGTTGCTTCTCCAAATGGTGGTTGGGACCCCAACCTGACAGCAGAGGATAGGATGGCACAATCCTGGTACTGCAGAACATAGCACAAGTTTCTCAGTCACACCCAGCCTATATTTCTTTCCTGATGAATTTCTCCACTTAATAATCTCCACTAAATGTTTTCTATAAATACAATAAGTAGTGTTTCAAAGGACATGGCACTTGCTTGATTTATCATTTCAGTGACTCAAAATAAATGTAAAAATAAAAGTGCCTGAACCAGTAGATTGGGGGTAGAGAGGCTTGGGCTGGGTCCCCAGCTTTGCTGCTGATAGGATCTGCAATCTTGGACCAGCCACTTCAACCCTCAGCCTGGCTGCATTTGTCATCCCCGTAAAGCAGACAGCACCTTTTATAGGGCTCCTACTGTACAGTCTGTACAGCGCATGGTAGTAAACTGGGGCCTGAGCTCACCTCTGCCCTCACTGCCTGTGATGGGAATCTAGTAATAAAAAGTAATCATAAGGCCTGAATAGTTATGTGTTGTCTTTATAGCGAAGCAGGCCTTGAGCAGTGTGAGCCCTCCACTGGGAGAAGTCCCATTTAAAAATTTCCCTGGCATGAAAATGAATCGGATTCTGTCACATGAATGGCCTGCATTTATCAGTCTTCACCTACCTTCTGGTTGTTCATTTTCTCTGCTGGCTTGAGCTTGTTCCCTGGTTGTTGGCAGGATCTAGGCAACAAGATCTTGCTGGAAATTGGCTATTAAATTAAGGAGAAGATAGAAGAGAAACAGGATGGACTACGATGATGTAGTAGCATCAGATGATAAATGCAACTTCTGAATGTTTCATGGTTCACACTAGAACAGGAAGGAAAAAAAACAAAAGAGGATTTTGATTATTGCCAGTGAATTTGGAACAATATGGGATTTTGGGATCTTAAGAAATTTAACGTGAGACCAGGTTAAATTCTTGGTTGATCTGAGCAGATGTTTTTCCTGTAGCCACTGCAGCATTAAGCATTGCACCTATCATCTTTAAAAGGCAGGATTTCAACTATCCCAGTAGCAAGGACTGCTTCTCCAGAGCCAAGAAGCTCTGTCACCATCTCAGCACTGGGATATTCAAAATGTTTGGGTAGATCAGGTCGGGGGAATGGTTTGTGTATGATCCTGAAACTGCTTGTTTCACCTGGATAAGAGGCAAGGCACACCGTGACTGGTCTTTGAAACTGTTAGAAGGTGTTCATGGGCAAGCAGCTGGTCCAGGCTTGCCCCAGTGTTGGAGCATCTCCCAGAAGGATGGAGTGAAACAGGACAGTGTAGAGTCTGAAACACCACAAGTTGCCCAATGGAAGTTTTGGTGCTAAGAAGGGAGATTCATTACAGGAGAAGCATGCTGATCATTAACTGTACTGGAGCAACACTGAAACAAGGAGTTTTTCTTTGCTTTAAGATGTCTGCCCTAAGAAAGCATTTGCAGTTGAAATTGTGTTCTCTCTTCCTTAACTCTTGGATTCTCATGAGTCAGCTGTTGCTTTGTTAAATAAAACACTGCTTTAGGGAGTCTGGCTGGCCCTGGGGATGGGTAATGCAGTATAGCACTTTCATCTCTCACCCATGAACCCAAGTCAAACAGAGTTTGGTAAATGGCCAATAACCTTTCCCATCCCAGGGCTGTTTGGTGACCTGTGAGAAATGAGGAGGGTCATCTCTGCATCTGTTTACTAGAAGGCAAGTGTCAACTTAACCATAAAAAGGGACTTGGTTACTCCTTGTTATCACCCAATTTAACATTCTTAAGCCAAGAGAATGACCCCAGAAAACGCAGCCAACTTCTTACCCGGCAGTGGTGGTCCCAGTGCATCAGGGCTGGAAGTATGTGCATTAACAAGGGCAGTGGGGTGGTAGTAAGCCAGGCTGAGCCTCTCCTGCAGACAAAGATTTCTGCAAGCCTGAGTTTATGATCTGAAATAGACACAGGAACCTGTACAGGAACACAGCACTGATAGAGTTAACACGTTGATAAATCCTTCACTGTGCTTGTGCTTGTACTATCCTGACTACACAGTTCTGGTTACCAAAATAGCTGTGTGTGAAGCTCAGTGCAGTGCCCGATCTCACCCCGTGTGCTGCTCATTGTAAGGTCAGACCTTTGGCATCAGGAACCTGTTAGAAGAGAGAGGAATCGCTTTAAGAGTTGCTGCCACTCGGGGGATTACCCTGGAAGGTCTGCGAGGGGAAAGGAAAGGGCAAGACGGGTAACTGTTTGGCCACGTGAAAAATCAACAACTCTTAAATTTCACTAGATCAATATAAACCTCTGAAACTCACCCAAAACTCCAGTCAGCTTGTTCTTGCCCACAGTGCTTCTAGTCACTGCAGTCATTTTCTTCCAGCCCTTTTGCACCATAGAATTGATAACATTGTCGCGTTCAGCTGTGAGTTACTGTTTAATCCCTACTATCTTGATTAATTGCATTAAACTGGTATACCTGTGTTAATTAAACAGAAGATGGCAGAGGCAGCTTTCAGTTCATATTCTTTTGTGTAGATCATTTCCCAAGGCTTCTCGGGTTGTGGAAAAATAACAATGCAGACACATCACCCGTAATATTTCAGCTCAGCTGATAAAGCTATTTTACTCATACAGCAGTCTGTGATTTTTTTTTCCACTTATCACAGTATAGGCTTAATTACCATGCTGCTGCTGCATGGCAGCTCCACTCACTTTTTTTTTTTTTTATTTGTATTATTTGCAAGTCGTAATCATGTTTTCCTGTCATCCCCGAGCAATGTGCGTGCGTGCGTACAGGCAAATGCCAAGCCTGGAAAGGAAATCTGATGCGTGTCCATGAATTGGAGTTTTCAAACTTTGGCTGAAGATTAGTACGTATAAACATAGCTCTGCCCCCTTCATCTTGGATAATTGGTCACAAATGCTACTTGACACTTCTCAAATCGGACACTTTACATACTTCTGAGCATAGCTGAACTTTTTTGGCAGGAATTAATTTGCTTTGCAACTCAGCCGCTCATTCCTGGCCCGATCCCTGCTGCAGTGATTTCAGCACAGTGCTCTGCCAGCGCGAGGAGCGGAGGCAGGACGAGATCTGCTTGTTAGCACTGACTCGCCTGGCTTTGTTGGCTCCCTCAGAAACACAGTAACTGTAGCTGATGTTTTGCCCTGCACCAGTCTACATCAGCAGTGGGACTTTTACCTTCAGGTTCCTCTCTTTGTTCCAATTACTGAGCAAATTACATAGCATATAGAGACAAAAAAGTGATGAAGGCAGCGTAGTGCCATGAGAAAACACAACTTCTGACACATCAGGCAGGACCCTTCCACAGCAGCACTGGCTTTGCAGGAGATGGCTGCAAACTCCTGCCACAAAGAGATTGTCTCTGCACTCTCCTGCTTCTGCAAACAGTGCTCACTTCAATAGAGAAAAAGAATCCATTCCTGAAGTATTGGAAAAGTTTTATGTAGCCACAGAATCCATGCTATTAAACAGCCCTCTGCTTGCTCTGACTTTGCTGTGTGCTCACTTGCTGTGCAGTGGTACTGCAAGAGCTGAGCAGACCATATGGTCACGTAGAAGGGTTGCCAGGTCTCAGGGAGCATTATTGTGCATCTCCCAGTAGGAGCTTGGGTCAGGAACATATTCCATAAAGGTTTTCACTAGGAATACTGTATTTTATCTGGCAATTTTTTTCTGTACAGCCTCTGGACTAAGTGGCAGTTTATCAGCATATCCATGTACACATATGAATAACCAAAGGGAAATATCATTCAGCCTTTATTCACTGGGATGTTGATAAGCAGCAGCATATTAAAAATGTTTGTCAGTTTGTTCTTTTCAGCTATAAAGTGGGGTGTGAGCCAGCGTGCCCTTCTCGTGCTGAAGGCATTTATCCAGAAAATGGAGAGAAAATGATGAAACAATGTCAGTTCTAGAGGAAGACAGAGGTTTTCATGGATTATTTTAGTGTCATTGACTTGCTCATTGCTAACACTAAAGCTTGTAACCTAGAGTAAGTCTACACAAAGATGTGAGCCAGAAAAAAAGTGCTCCTACCTGCAGAAGAATAGAATGAAACTTCACACCATGTTTCAGGTATGATCTGGAAGAGGAGTAAACACTGGGCCATGCTCTTGGTGCGGGCTTGATTCTCAGATTCTTGGTGATGCTCTTGCTGTTGGCTTGGTTCTTAGGTCTTCATGCAGCTCAAAGTACTGTTGAAGAGCAGCCAGGATGAGAGCAGTCCATGCTGAGCCATTGCTGGCCAGCAGTCAGAGCTCCAGATCCATCAACTGTGTTCTAACGTGTTTGGTCCCCATAAGCACACTGTCTTGTTCATCTCTGTAAGAGAAGAGTAGCTGGTGTGATGAAAAGCATGGCAGATTCATGGTAGAGAGCACAAATACTTTTGTTGCCCTTGAATCTGCCATGGAATAGTACAAGGGATTATTTATTCCAGGCTAGTAAGTCTTAAGTTTTCATATACTCTTGCCTTAAATTAAACAGATAAAGACGTATCATGCTTCCTCTTGTTTATTTTTCATACTGCAGCCATAAATGGGATGGCAGGTATGGTATTTGTAGGTGAACCAAGCACCAATTGGTGAAGAAATGCAACATTGCTGTAAAACCTGGGCTAAGGAGGATGCTTAGCTTCCATTGCTGTTACATATCACTATATAAAATTAGCTTTCAGGTCCTAGACGGTTTAAAATAACATGTCTAGTGTTAGAATAGAGGAGTATCAGAAAAAGTGAATTACAGGTTATGGGCTTCTAGTATTTGCAGTAAAATAACTCTTATTGTAATTACACCTATAGAGTACTAATTTATGTTATTACAAGAAAAGGATGGTGGCATTAGGATGTATGGAAAGAAAATCTTACAGGAGAGCCAAATAATGGGATAAAGAGCAGAAGTGGCTACTCACTATACTTCAGCACATGTGCTCACTGTGTATGTGTGGATATGTAATGTTCAGCAGGTTAGGAGAAACTATTATAGGTAACTGATATATGATGCAAATAGAAGCAAGCTATAACTCACAGAAGGCCCTTACCATACACGCAAACCCCCAGTGGTGCCATTGAGCATCTCCTTAGTCTTTGCTCGATGAGAATGGAAATCACCCAAATTGCTCTGTGTGCTCAGTACTTCATGGATGAGATCCTAACTCCCACCCATAAAGACCAAACTTTAACACTCTTGAACATTTGCAATGAAACTAAAATAAGAAACATTGATAGTTTTTCACAGTAAAGCTGAGCCTCCATTTTGAATCATTATATTGTGCTCAGAACTTCCAAGCAGTGCATAGGTACCTCCTGGATGTCATTCCTGAAAGCAAGTGAACTGTTACTTCAGTAGGTAAAGATTTACTTGCCTAATGCCTGGTGTCATCAACAAATTCAGGCTGGCAATGGTGTCCTACTCATCTCAGCTAATTACACAGCTTTGCACTCCCCTTTTCTTCCCATTCAGATGTGCAGCTCAGTGTTAATACCCACCAGTTGAGCATTAACCAATGGTTACAGCTGAGATGAATGAAGTGATGGATGAACACAGTTTGCATATTGGTAACTGGAAGTCCAGCTGAGTAGTTCGCATTATTTAATGTACAATCATTATGTTTGTCTTTAGAAGCAGCTAAATAATAATATTACTTCTGTTACTCACTCTCTGATACCAGTGATGAAGCGTGCTTTTGGTAATGGTTTGTTTTCTAAAAAAATATGAAACTGCTTGGAGCCTAAATCATTGCTGTAGGAAGTTAGTAGGTTGTTCCTAGTTGAGAAAAGTCCTGTGTCAGAAGTGAGACTCCTAGATTGGCTGTGTTGGGGGAAATAGGACAGTATTTAATTATGACAATTCAAATTCAGCAGGGTTCTTCTGAGTGCAGACTATACTGATTTGCAGTGCTAACATAGGAAAGGCTGAGTTAAAAAGCTTGCTTATTTGGAAACTTATTTGTTCCTGAAAATGTCTGTTCAGCTCTTTTTTAAATCTGATTTCTTATCCAGGGTGAATTACACCGCATTTCTGAACCTCAGGAACTGCTTGGGCACGGTAACAGCTGGACAAAGTGCCAGTTGAGTTTGTTCGTTCTGACTGTAAAATTCTGTTTGTTTGTGTTGGACAATGGTGTTTGGGAAAGGGAGATTAAGAGCACCAGAGACAGAATGAATGACCACGTTTGGTTAGTGCATGAGGCTTAATATAAGCATAGGATCACAGTCTGTAAGATCTGTGGCAAATGAAACCAGCTTTCAGGTAAAATCAACACCTTGCTGCAAAGAAACAGTGAGGAAAATCTGTGCCAGTGTTGCAGCATGACAAATGAATTTATGCAAATTGAAGATAATCATTATTATTTAATATTCAGGAGCTCTAAAACTTGATAGTGTGTGGACAAAAGATCGGAAGGCTTCTAAACCCAAAGTTTTGCATCTTTGGTTCAATATGCTTCTCATGTCTTCAGCATTTGGTTTAATTTAGGAGGAAACAGTTCTGAGCTGAGATAAGATCTCAAACAAAATTGACGTGGTCTCACAACATGGCCTAACATAACAATTTAATCTGTCCTATGCTTCCCCTGAAAGAGGGCTTAATAACTGTGGTATGATTTCACCTGCTGCTTCTAACGTTTGCTCATTCTTTTTTCCTGAGTAAATTTGGATTATCAGATGGCCAGCAGCTTTGTTCATGGTAGACAAATGTGAATTCGTTTAGGATTAATAATAACAGGCTCAATCCTGGATTCAGTGGCAGCCCTACTGAACGAGATCTTTGGAAAGGAAATATTTGTGTTAAAAAGAAATAACTGATTGTCTATTTTCATAAAGCCTTTTCCCAGTGTATCCAGCCTTGGGCGTGCAATCTGCGCAGTGCATTATTTGGTGTGAGGAAAAACATGTCTCTTACCCATGGAATTATCTCAGGCCCTCCTGATGATCTGATGATGAGGAGCAGGATGGGTTCCATCAGCAGTCATTGCCCATGAGAGGAGTGCACAGAAGGAGGAATCCAGGCTGGATTTGCTTTTGGCCCAGACCTCACCATTGTGAGTCATTGGCATCTTCCAAAATCCTGCGGAAAAGCTTGAGTTCTTTGCTGTGTTCCCTGTCTCTGAGAAACTGACCAGAGCAAAGGGCAGCACAATGCCCAGCCCCAGAGGCACTGCCTGAAGCCAGGAGCTTGCTGACCATGGTAGAATCAGCAAACTTCAGCAGAATAACCCTGCAGGCAATTTTACCGCAGAAAAACATCGGTTGTGTTTTAGATTAGAGCTTTTCATTCACATTGGATGTTTTTTCTTTTATTTCTCCCCCCAGTAACGTCCAGTTGCTTAATTCTGTTTGAAATCACCCAGGGTTGGCACCTAAATACCTCAATAATCTTGTCCTTCAGGGCTGTCAACATCTTGAGGCACCTAACCACCTTTAGAGATGTGGTGTGAAAGCTTGTGAACAATGCCATCGGGGAGGGAAACAAAAGACAAGTATCCCTATTTGCTGCCCAAGAATCCACAAAGAATGCTGCTTCAGCTCTGCTCTGATTTCTAATTAGATTATGAGTGATGTAGGACTCTGAAGCCAAGCTGGAGTTTGTGCTAGCACTTTGCATGTATGAATGACAAAGGGACACCACTTTCATATTGATTTAAGGGAGCGGTGGAAGAATGTTTAAACATCAAGTGCTTGATGCCTCGGTTTTCCAGAGCACCTGGAAATATCAAATTAATTCCAGGTGTTCTGCCATCAAGACAGACTCGCCGCTTTTACAGCCACACATACAAAATGTGGCTCCCAGTTCCACAAATAAAAACGGAGCGGTTTTTGCTCCCATGCCTTGATAACTCTGACATATTGCAAGTTCTGGAAAGAATTTTAATCTACATAGTTTTTTAAATGGGGAGGGGAGTGAGGGGGGAGGGATTTTAAATATGCTGCATACAATTTGTGATGGTCATCTCTAAAATGCAGCTCCATTATCCTTTTCCATTTGGAATGAATGAGGCTAATTAATTTCAGGCCATACTTGATGAGGTCAGCACCATACGAAGGGTGCGTGCTAGACATTGCTAATCTCTTTCAGCTGAGAGTGATGAATTAAAGATGAAGCATTCCTTTGCAGGCCTAATTTAGAATGTATATCAAAAACCTACAGCAAATAATACTATACCCTACAACAAAGGAAAACTTGTTCTCTCAGGCTCCCATGTAGGGTTGATTTTAAAGGCATTTTCATTTCACTTTGGAATTCCAGCTGTGGATGGGTGAAACAGTTCAGAAAATTCAAGCTTTCTCTCTTTCTATTGCTTTTATGGACAAAAGTAGGCAAGGGGGGGCTACGGGGAGAGAGAAACTAGTGGATGTTTGATCCTGTATGTGCTGTGATTCCAACTGTATGCTCGACGTTTAGGAGAGTTTCCAGGGTCTTGCACTCCCAAGTACCTGTGACGTGACCCCCCCCACACAGCAAACGTTGAAATTTTAGGTTTTTGTTGTGGTTTTTTTGTTTTGTTTTATTTTAATCTGAAGGTAAAGCAGCAAAGTGTCCCATTTTCTCAGCTTTGAGGATGTTTTGTAGGACACTACAGGCTTTTCTGAGGGAAGCAGGGCAAGCAAGGTGGTTCTGCTGGGTCTCCCAGCGAGGATGTGATCTTCCAAGCCAGCAGTGAGCCACAGTTCACTTTTGCAAGGGAAAAAAAAAAATCACCTTCTTATGCAAAGAAATCATCCTTAATTGTCATTTCGGTAAAATAGGAACTCTGAAATCCTATTCTAGCCCCTGATGGAGGAGGCTGGACATCAACTTCCCCAGAACTCTGCTGTTTAATACCTGGCAGTTGGGTGAAATTCTTGACAGGTTACTGCCGCGAATCCAAGCTCCCAACTGGTGGCCATAAGCGGCTGCTGTCTTTGTATCCCAGTAGTACTCATTAGAACAAAGCTGCTTCGAATTAAATCCAATCTACATGCCGAATCAATCTTTCAACCCTTTGATTGCTTCTGAAAATATTTATATTTCTTAATAATGCACATTTTGTCCCACAGCCTGTGATTAAACCCAGACAAGGTCCAGAGAAGCCTGAAGTATATGTGGAAGGGGTTATTTTGGACAGGAAAAGAAAGATAAAGAACACAGGTTTTTCCTATTGTGAAACCATTAGAGTGTATAAATCTAGCAATTGCTGTTGTATAAGCATCAGAGTGGGGTTGTAATAAATACAGATTGGAGTATTATAGTAACCAAATGGAGTTTATGGATTATGCTCACTAGTTCATATTTCTCAGCTACTACACCTAACTAGCACCATGCCGCACTCAGCTCTATTAATA